ACAACTACAACTAGGGCCTGCAGCCTGGATCTAGCCAGCAGACAGCTTGAGTCGTAGTCTAAAACACACACTCATACGATGAATTCATGCAAATATTTTTAAATGGCAAGATTGTACATTTTTAAAAATCTAGATTTCTGGCTGAGTGCTGGAAAAAAAGGATCACAAAACTAAACTGTCCAATCAAATAATCAATCAGGAAGACTTAGGTTTAGAAAAAAATAATACCCCATAGGGATACTGTATTAACTAAAAATTCATATTAAAGTGGCTATCCAGACATCTACTACAAAATCAACACTCATTATTTTTTCTTAGAGCGTAGACAAAATACCATTTCACGGGCATCATTGTGCTGTTGAAAAATACAAAAATTAGTAATGACAACAATGATCCAGAAACATTATATAACAAAAGCTTAAACAGGTTTATTACACTGCTTAAGAAAAACATTTTAGAAAAAAAAAAGAAAAAGAAAAGAAAAACATTTTAGCATACAATATTTAGGAAACATTCCAAGAAAACTGCTAAGATTTTGATACAGTGTTACCTAGCGAGAAATTTCACTTGTTTAGAAGATATCATTTCCTTTCACTGGAGAAATGAGATATAGTTTCTGTAACTTTTATGGTTTTATTTTCAGTATCAACCAACCAATCAGATTCAGGTAGGTAAAGAAACATAGGTCCTGGTCTTAGTTTAGATTTGGATAAAAACTTATGGATTTCAGAACTAAGTCCAGTTCTGTCACTCCACAGTAAGCAATTTAACATCTAAAGCATTGCTGGCATAGACTCCTTATCAATGCTCAAAACTAAGGGCAGGAGCTTAGGTACTATGCTTCATTAGTAGGAAGAAAACATCATCAAAAATGAAATTAATGCAAGTTCAAAATATCATCTGGACAGGACACCAAGTGTAGGCTTTAAACCTAGTGTGTGTTCCCAGTCCCTTTCTCCTGATTGTGGCTCAAGATTACATACAGCATTTAAAAACTGAAATGGGGCAGCCCGGGGGACTCAGGGGTTTAGCGCTGCCTTTGGCCTAGGGTGTGATTCTGGAAACCCGGGATCGAGTCCCACGTCGAACGCCCCGCATGGAGGCTGCTTTCTCCCTCTGCCTCTCTGCCTGTGTGTGTGTGTGCGTCATGAATAAATAAAATCTTTAAAAAAAATAAAAAATAAATAAAAACAAATGAAGGTTCAGTGGAGGGGGAGGAAAGGGTAGCCTTATATTAAAAGGTCCAACACCTGCATCAGGCCTTTACTACACTCGGGCCCTACTACCTATACCCAGGGTGGCTGATGGACTTCAAACTGTGAGAAGTTACCACACACAAAGTGACAAACAGGGTTTGCTTACCTAGTAAGGCCTAGTAATTTTTTACAAAATAGGTCTACATGAGAAAAAAAAAAAAACGGTTTAAATGAATTGTTCGAAGTGAAGGATTTCTCGCAGTACTGACACTGAGCTCTTCTCAGTAGCTAAATCTGGAATGCTTACTGTATGCAATATTCTACAACGCTTACTAATTTATGAGAAAAAAAAATTGCTGATACTTATCTCTGTTCATTTCTTTCACCACAACAGCCCAAACAAAACAAAAAAGGCTTTCCACCTAAAGTGTTCTGACCTCCTTTTCTAATTATAGTGGAGGTGAGGCACTACTTACAACCAAGTTCTACAACAGGCAGAGAGGTACAAGATTCTGGTTTTTACCACTAGTGCTAACTTGAACAAAAACATTTCCCCGTGTCTCATTTTCTTCGTGCCTCAAATGACACTGAAAATTTAACCTTTTAAACTCCGAAAAAGGTAACTCGGATAATAGATAAAACTATTTTGAAATATAAAAATTACTTTATTCAACTTAAGGTAAAAATCAAAATATAAGAACACTATTCTTGATGCTTGGCAAGTAATCCAGAATAAAGAGCATGGATATGATTTTTCATGTTAAATAGACATCCTTCAGTGTGTGGAGAAATTCCAAAGTCTTTATCAATTCTAAAATTAGAAGGTGGAAGTGGTAAAAACCATAACGCAGTAGACTGATTTGAATATAAAGTGAGAGGGCAAGTTAGGGATTACATTATTACCCTTAATGCAACTTAAAAGGTATAGCATAAACTGAAAGAAGAAAAAAAGTAAATTTTTTGTTTGTTAGATGGAACTTTGTTGGTACCTGGCTATGACAAAAACCTTAGAAATGCGGTAATCTATCTTCATTGCAGAAAAGGCTACGTTCCCACAATACCCTTTGCCAGTAGGAACCTACTGAACAAGGATAAAACCTAGAGAACGGGCTCAGTAGCTTGGCAGGACCTCTCTCTCCTCCAGAGTAAAGTGGGCTACAGATTTGCCAAATCACTCAGTTCAGAGGGTAAAGGCATACTTACTCAGAAAGTTGTGCCCTGTTAACAGGGAGGCCACAAGTACTTCCATTCAGAAATTGCCTTCCTGATTTTCAGTTTAGTGTATAAGCACCTCTAACAAGATAAATGACTCATTTTATGGAAAATCAGAAATACTTTCCACTTTGCTCACCACAATAAAAAGAAAATTCTCAATTATCCCATAATGGAGAATGGGAGAAGCATACAATAATGGATGACTGAAACTAGCAATCTGTACAAAAACTCCCATGTAGCTTGGAGATAAACTATAGTTTTAAGTATCTTTAGGCTAAAAATTCTTTTCATGTTCTTTGAAATAAACTTTGAGCTTTTAAGTATAAAGTAGCAAACACAAGTAGACAGCAGTAAGGGAGTTTAAAACACGCTATAAACAGTTAATTATAATAATAATCTCAAGTCAAAGGCTGTCTGAGCCTCAGTTTCCCCATCTGCAAAATATGGCTAATAATAGTACCTATACCAGCAGATACAAGTAGAGTCTCTGGCACATAGTAGGGACTGGATAAATTTTTATTATTCCTATTTAGAATTTTCCTGTCAGAAAACAGTATTAATCATCAAACTAGAGATTATTTCCGACAATATTTCGTAAGTAAGCTGCAATCTTCTAAGCCCACTCCTTCGATTTAGTTTTCCTTACATCTTAAATTAACAAGGACACATCAGTTATTTATTTCAGCTTTCTCTATCAATAAAAAATAAAATAAAAATAAATAAAATAGATAAAAATTAAGGCCTTTTTGGTTTTGCCATTCAACCTGTTTCATTGCAGGGTCCCAAAAATTAATTCCCAAGGGAGGAAACGAGTTTAGGGGCTATTTTCCAAAGTGGTAACAATAAAAATGGGGAAAAAAACAGATCCCAACACAAGTAGGTGAAAAGACAAGGATTCCCCAGAATAGTATGACATTAAAATATAATGCTTAAAAATACTTTTTAAACAAAGGACCCGTTTATAGAATGAGTCCAATTAAATACGTGATGTGACAGTTATACATGTTCTTTGAAGTTAGGAAATTTCAAAGAATTGGTCTCACATCTACACACACTTTCATCTGGAAGTTAACTGAACCTACAAAGCCCACACTTTTCAACTCATTATGTAAAAAGTTTTCCAAACAGGCAAAGGAAAAGAGGAGATGTGAGAGTAATTGGTGACTATGTGAGAGACACAAAAGCACACTAACACATTCAAACTTGTATTTTTAAGAGGCAAATAAATAGGCCTCAGAAAAATAAACTCAAGGTATTCAAAATCCTTTAAACGCCTGTAAAGGAAATAATTTCTAAGTTATTTTCAGCAACCTTATGAAGTTACCCTGTGGGCAATATAGCTCTAAAGTACAATTTTTCAATTCAAATTGAAAATCAATGTCCCTAGAGTCTTTAATCACAGAGGGGTGAGTCTTGTTTGTTTTTCATGGAACGGAGAGTTCTGGGTTGAAAGTCCGATTCAAATTCCTTGAGGCCCGTTGCAATAATTCAGATACACAACAACTACAATCCTAATAAACTGAAGCGGCTAAAGTGAAATTACAGACTAATGTAACAAGACAGGTTTTCCACTTCAAAAGTAACAATTTGGAAATACTTTCACCTGATGTGGACATTTTAAGTGAAACTCCGAAATACGTCACAGAGGGAGGCGGCAAACACTGAACCTTGAAAAATGTGCAACACTCATTTTCAAACTAGGTCTTTGAAACTCGGGGGCCGTTTCAAAATAATGGGAACCACAAGCACTATGGCAGATACCAAAGGTTTTAAACTTATCTGCCAACTTCTCCCCACCTGTTAACTGAACCAAATTGTGATCACACATTTCAGCGGTCCAAAAAAAAAAAAAAAAACCCGCGAATAAAATGGTTCCACACTTGCAAGACGCCTACACAAACTATACACAGAATTCTCAGAATTCTGCATTACTGGGGGGGGGGGAGGGGGGGGGAGACAACACCAGGTAACACAAATCTATCTTCTTTCTCGAGGCAAAGAAGCATTTCTTTGCCATCCATGAACCGGAGTTGCCAACCTGCTGCAACAGGATCAAAGAGATGTAGCAGAAAAATAGTTCAAAGGGGGGAGTGCGGGTGGCGGCACAGCAAGCACAACGTTCTCCAAAGAGTGACACCTAAGAACTTTCTTCGCTCCCAGAAAGTTTCACGCCTGCTTCACAGATGAGCGAACTAAGGCAGAAGATCGGATTAATCAGTGCCTTTCTCAAGGTCACTCTGGTGCAACAGAACGGCACCGTCCAGGCCGCCGATCTAGGCCCCCGCCCCCGGCACACGCCCGGGGGGCTCCCCTCGTCGCCCAAACGCTACCGGGCGCGGGGAAGAAAACGAGACCCTCCGAGCGCTGGCGGTGGCGGCGGCGGCGGCGGCGGCGGCGGCGGTCGCGCTCGCGCTCGCGCTCGCGCTGCAGCGAGCTCCGGGAGGACCCGGGCGCCGGCGGTCCGCCCTCCCCCGGGGCGGCGGCCGCCCCCTCCGACCTCGCAGGGAAGCCTCTGGCCCCCAACACCCAGCGATGTGGCCCGGGGCCGCCGGGGCCGGCGAGGGTCCCGCCGCCAGGGGCCTCCCTTACCGTCGCTCTCGGCCCTGACGAGCAGGGACATGCCCTTCAGCCGCTCCACGTAGCCGGACGACACATGCCCGGTGCCCCGGTCGTCCCACTGCCGGTCCTCGTTGAGCGTGTAGACCTTCACCCGCCGCCGGGTGTCGGTCATCGTGCCGCCCGCGGGCCGGGGCACAGGCCCCGCTGCAGTCGCCCAGGAAGGGGGGCCGGCGCCGGCCGGCGGGAGGACGCCTGCAGGCGGGGCGCTCCCGGGCTCACTGCCGCCGCTGGCCGCCGCGGGGCCGCGGGGCCGCCCGCATGGCCCGCTCCCCGGCCCGAGCTCTGGGCCCCGGTCCTTCCTCGCCTCCGACTCCCACTTCTGGGCGCTATTGTCCGCGCGCGGGGAGCCCGGCCGCCCCGAGAGGGGCGCGCAGCGCTTCGCAGCCTCCCGGGCCGATGCGGTAGGACCTCGGGGCGCCGCTCACTGCCCCGCCGCCGCCGCCGCCGCCTCCGCCATGATCTCCGCGAAGCCGCTTCCCGCGCCGCCGCCGCCTCCTCAGGCCGCCGCCGCCATGTTTTCCTTCCTTCTACCTGGCCCTGCCGCCGCAGCCAGCGGCTCCGCTCCGCTCCCCGGCTTCAAACGTCCCAAGCCGAGGGGCACCTCCTCCTGCTGCAACTGCTACGGCTGCGCCGGAGACTGCGAGAGCCCCCCCCGGCGCGCGAGCGCTCCTGCCTCCTGGAAGTCCCTTTCCCCTCGCCGCTGCCGCCGCCTCTTCCGTCTTCCTCACGGAGCCAAAGCCGCCGCCATCTTGGTTCGCCCCTCAATAGCGGCGCGCGGGGCCACCCAGGCAGCAGCTGCAGGGGCGGCCCGTTGGCCCCACCATTTAAAGAGACAGGAGCGAGGCCGGGAGCCTCGCTGCGGCGGAGGCCTCGGACGGAGGCGGGAGGCGGGCGCCGAGCTGCCGAGGTGGCGGGAGCGCAGGGAGTGGAGGAGGCGGAACGCTGGTCGCGCCGCTGACGGCCCGGGGCTCCCTCGCGCTCCCTGCACGCACTGTCGTGCGAGCGCGGGGCGGCGTGTGCGCCGTCGCGCCCTGTGTTCGTCATCAGCCCCGCTCGGGGACTCGGAAGGGGCGTGGAGCCCGCGTCCGGCCGGCCTCGGCGCGCCCGTCGGCCGCGCGCCCGGCGTCTCGGGGTGCGGGGGCCGCCGCGGCCTCGGCGAGTCGGGCTGCGGGCGCCGGGCTCCCCCGCCTCCCCCTCCACCAGCGCCCTGTCCCGCGCGCCGCGAGCGCACCGTCGGGGAGGCGCCGGAGCCCAGGCGATGTCAGGCGTCTTCCTCAGGGAGAAACGGAAAGGCTTCCGGGGACGGCCCCAGGTTCGCGCGGCGAGGGCAGCCGCCCGCCCCGGGAGCCGCCGTGGGGCGCGTCTGCGGAGCGGACGGACGGCCGCAGGCCCGGTGGCGCGGCTGCGCCCGCCCCGCCCCGCCCCGCCCCGCCGACCGCCGACCGCCGACCGCCTGCGCCCTGTCCCGCTCCTCCGTGTTGCAAGGAAAGCAAGACCCGGAGGGGCGCACGAAGCCCGGTCGCCGTGCGATCCTGTGCAGCCGCGCTGAGCAGTTCTCAGCGGGAGCTGTGAAGGCCTGAAGATCCTCACAAAGGAATCGACCCCCCCCCCCCCCAGATTCTCACCCTCGTGCAAGCAAGAGCCGCCGTTTGGGGGCTTTCCTGTGTCCACTAGACTTGACACGAGCCACGTGTAATTCAGAATTTTACAGTAGCCGCTCTCCGGAAAAGTACAAAGAAGCCGCTGAAATGTATCTTAATAATGTATTTTATTGGATGCAGTATCTTCAATCCTCAGTATGACGTCAATGATTTTTTTTCCCATTCCTTTTTTTTTTTTCTTTTCCGTACCTGAGTTCAAGATGCGATGTGTGTTTTCCCCCTCGGTGTAAATTTCTCCTCGGAAGCTAAATCTCCTTTGCAAATAACCTAATCTGTATTTAGAGTGTATTGAGCTTACAGTGGGAAAAGGATATTCGCATATTCAAGTTATTTTCTTCCAAAAGTATCCATTTTTAAAATGTAAAAGTTTAAAATTCAGTTCCTTATTCGCACTAGCCCCATTTAGCCCCTGTCTAGTGGCCACCATTATGGCAGGTCCAGGTGCTTGAGGTCACCAGGAATCTCACATCAAACCTGCAAATGCATCTATCAGGAAGAGGCCCTGACAGCATCACCAGTACTGAGAAACGGGTTGCCCAGGATATGGGATTTTTCTGTTTTAACCACTGCCAAATACAAAGAGGTGCTTACAAAGAACAGTCGGAGACTTTCCTCTTTTGCCAACAAAAGGGGAAAATTATAAAAAAATAAAGCTGTTGTCTCTAAAAAATAAAACAGTAATGTCAAGCATCAGGGCGTGACAGCAATTTTGTCCACTTTTGATACAGTAAGACATCATTAAATTTGTTCCTACTTACTTGAACCCCAAACCAAACATGAAATAATTTGTGGGAAAAAATCAACTGGACTCAACTGCTATCGCTCTTATCTCCCTTCTAAAACTCTATAAAGCTGGTGGTGCTTTTTTCCCTACTCAAAGTAAGAGAAAGAACTTGAGCCACTGAAAGAAAAGAAGCCACTCTCCCTTCTGAGGCCACCAGTGAAAATCAGATCTTGCCGTGATGGCAGGTAGGAGGGGACCTGGGGAAAAAAAAAAAAAAAAAAAAAAGGAGGGGACCTGGGGAGTGGAGCACTATGAAACGTGGTGTCTACTCAGGAGGCAGGTGCTGCTCTGACATATAGTGTGCTCCTTGAGTGGATTCTTTCAGAGCCAAACCAACTTCCCAGGTAAGAACAACCACACACTTGAAAAAAGAGATCTAGAATGAACTAAATCACAGTTCCTTGAAAAAGGCCTGTCACTCACCTTTGCACTTCTGTCTTGAAAAAGAAGATCCACGGGATGCCTGGGTGGCTCAGTTGTTGCGTGTTGTCTGCCTTTGGCTCAGGGTGTGATCCCGGGCACGGGAATCAAGTCCCACATTGGACTCTGCTGGAAACCTGCTTCTCCCTCTGCCTGTGTCTCTGTGTCTCTCATGAATAAGTAAATAAAATCTTGGAAGGAAGGAAGGAAGGAAGAGGAAGGAGGAAGGAAGAAGGAAGGAGGAGGGAGGGAGGGAGGGAGGGAGGGAGGGAAAGGGAAGAAAGGAAGGAAGGAAGGAAGGAAGGAAGGAAGGAAGGAAGGAAGGAAGGAAGGAAGGAAGGAAAAAAAAAGAAGACTCAGCTCATGAGACTACTTTCCATCTAGGGGAGGGAAATCAGGTTGGGCCAGTATATGCTTTCCTTGTTCTCTGCCACAGCTGACAAATAAGTCTCTTCTCTCACCCTTTTTTGAGATGGGTGTCAAAGAGTGCTTAGTTGGTTGACATGCACACGTGGTTAATGAAGATTTGAAATGAGGTATCTGCAAGACAAGCTAGTCCACAGACATTTTCTAAGACTTCAGATAAAAATTTGAGTCATTTTCACTTTTGCCCCCACCTTTGTACTTGGCCCCTCCCCAAGGCCTACTAACTTTCTTCTCTTTCCTATCCCCTGATTTGATTCTGCTATTTTTATTTCTTTGGTCATCATCTTAGGATTTGTTGTACCTGAAGTTCTCCGACTCAGTTACAGAAGGTGACTCCAGAAACTGTTGGTACTCTGAAATGGGAGAGCTCAGAGCCCTGCAAAGAACACTCCCAGGCACTGGCAGAAAATAGCAGCATTAACATCAGCATTTATGTTAGTTTGCAGGGCCGTGAGGAACCCAGAAAGTCCCCTGCCTGTCTCCCAAGACCCCCCATGCAGGAATTCCCATGCACCCAGAAGTAAAACCAAGTGTTCCTGTAGGCCAGCCAAAGGAAGTCATTATAGCAATAGAGAGAAAGGGGAGATGGGTATTGGAATTATCCATGGGGAATTTCAACCTACACATGCTTTCTCAATTTCGTACACTTCCCTCAGGGATGGGTACTTAAAATACACAGCCCCCATCAGCTTCTCCCTAGGTGTCCAAGTAGCTCTAGCTCTGCATATTATTCAAGGGATGGCAAATGTGGCAGTCAGGAGAACATGCCTCACTGACTTTTTTTTAATATTTTATTTGTTTATTAGAGAGGGCATGGGTGGGGGGAGTGACAGAAGGAGAAGCAGACTCCCCACTGATGTAGGGCTCCATATAGGGCTCCATCCCAAGACCCTGAGATCATGGCCTGAGCTGAAGTCAGACCCTTAACTGACTGAGCCACCAAGGCGCCCCCCTTTACAGACCTCATTTTCCAAGGAGCATAATTCACCTGAGCCCCGAGCTGCTACACTCTGAAATTGCATCACTGCTTTTGTAAAGGAAACCTGTCTGTCATAGGCTTCTCCCCTCCAAGGACAATGCAGCAGGATCCTAAGGCAGATAGTCCTGGGAAGCATCTCTTCTGTAGGCTGACTTTGGCTCAACAACCCCTTTACCAGCTTTGTCAAACCTTCCTTAGAGTGTACTACATTCTAGGATGCTTTCACCCAACCCTCTTTTCCTCTTTCTTCACTCAGAGTTGGACTCATGCCTCTCCCAATCATTCTGGCTATTTCCTTTTATATAAGGGTTTCCTCCAGTAAATTCCTTATATGCTTAAACTCAACTCAGTGTGTGCTCTTTGGAGAGCTCAGATTAGTGCTAAATTCAGCTCTAAGGTCCAGTAAATCTTCAAATGTAAAAAGAGCTAAATCTTGATTTATCCATAATATAAGATTTTAACTAGAAATGAGAAAACTAAAACTTACTTACAGCTACACCTATGTTGAGGCCTGCTGAATTATATACTGAGAGCTAATATGTATGTTCTTAATGAATTTGATTTTTATGTTTCCTAAAGTTCTACAGAATAAGAACAATTTTTCTCATACAACTATCACTTTGTTCTTTCTCAGATTTTTCCTAATAATTCTGATTTCTCTCAAATATGAAAGGTTTGCAATACAAAAAGATATTCTTTTTTCAAATTTATATCTTTCTGAGTTTTGAGAAGGACTTCAAAATGAAAAGAATATGTATATCCTCCCTGTTCTCATATGAGTAGACCAGATTCCTTTTAAATGATGTCAAATCTGGATTTTTTTTTTTAAATGTCTGACACTTTACTCATCCC